AAAATTCTAGTTGCTTCACATTCTATATGATCTCGCAATCTCTATCACAGCCTGTCCCACCTTCCAGCCTGCAACAGCTGTGGCTTTGTGAAGATGTGGGAAAGGAAAGGGGAGGAGAATGACAAGTGTTAGACAAAGATAGGCAGAAAGACAGGGACCACAGTTGCCAACAAAAAAATAATAATTGAGACACAAACCTCCTTCCCCAAAATCAATCGAAGAAAGGGACCTTTGAAGGGAACCAGGCAGTTCACGTTGTGTTAGTATGTAACTAGGGACTATATTCCCATGGCTAGAGAATTGCACTCTACATGCAGAAAAAGTGAATGACTTTTACTTCCACATTTTTCACCACAGAAAGCTTCCCAGCTATATTTTCCATTCCAAAAGCACTTGTTCTGCAAGTAACAAAATTTTAGAGTAAAAATATTCCATTATTTTTTCCTTCAACAAGCCATTTCTTTTTTACCTGAGCCAGAACATAAATATGACCTAGACTTTGCCCAACAACATTACATTAGCCACAGAAACACACCCATGTGAAGGAGTTATTAATCCTCAAAAAAACCATGGCAGAATTTGATGAAAGCTGAAATGTATTTTTACAGATGGTTGTGCTATGATGTATTTGATTTGAAAAATATTAAACAAAGGAATACTTCATTTCTGTTTTACTCCCTGAAAGCAATTACTACATGAAAAGGTAGACAGGCAGGACACAGTTAACAAACAAAGACTAAAGAGTTGTCATCGGGTTTGAAATGGTCTGGAAAATAAATGAGGGCCACTCACCAATAATATGACTATAAAATACAGCAATGAAAAATCTATATTGTGAACATACGCATACTTACATCCCACATCACAGCTTGATGGAGCAGGAGATAAATGACCCAACATTGATTGTTTTTACAGGACTATGACAACCCCCCGCCCAAAGGAAGAGAAGCAGAACGTCTCTCCCTTCACATAAAAAGCAAATTACAGATGGAAAAAAAAATCACTACTCTCAAAGCAAGATTCAATTAAAAAAATATGTCTGGCTTTGACAGGGCAAATTCCAGGCGAAGTGTGTTTTCATAGAAGTTGGTCCTAAAGGAAAGATTTGAGTGCAACAAAAAACTGTGGAACTTTTCACAGCTTCTAATTTCTCCGTAATACTAAGCAAGGATTTCCACCTCCTTAGCTCATATTTTTCTTAACTGACCCTGCAAGGTGGTGTTATGTTTGTGATAGTGTATGTCCTTTCTGAAATCCACATTGTATAATAGCTGCACTGCAGACACTGAATAATAACTAATACTCTCTTACAGCAATACCGTAACGGGGAATGCTTTATTGAGGAGTGTGTGTGTGTGTGTGTGTGTGTGTGTGTGTGTGTGTAAATACTTGAGGTTATATGGCAGGATGAAACTACAGGAAGGAAGGGCAGAGGCAGCTCATCCTGTCCTATGCAATGGTGCAAGGACATCACAATGGCATTATTTAATTACAAGGCAATCCTAACTCTGGGACATCCACTTCTATCTTCAGAAACATTAAACAGGAACTATATTGTCTTTGTGTTGTGCAAAGGTTCAAGGCAACCTCTGAAAGAACCTCTGAAAGTCGCATGATTTTTGAGCCAACACTTCTGCGCACATTCCCCTCTGCCTTGTCACCTTTCATCCACTTTGTCCAGAGCATCATTAGGGTTTCTAGACACCTTGTTCTGGATCTTGTTATAATGCTCACAATGGATGTCAGTGGACAGGAAAAGAGCTCCAGTAGTCAGGTTTGAGCTATGTGAATAAATACACCCATTTGGGTGTTATCGAGCTGTTTCATTTGTCTTATCATTTCGTTCTTCATTTGACACTGTGACCCTTGAAAAGCCAAAGATGGCATTTCTCTGGTTCTTTACCCTCAACCTCAAGGTACCACAGCCTTTATTCTCTGTCCCCTGTTGCACTTTGGAGATAATTGCCTACACTTTGGTGCCTATATTACATATGTTTCAACCTGTTCTCCAAACATTAACTGTTTGGGATTAAAATAGTTTCTAAGAAGTATTTTCAGCCTTTCCTTGAGCTTCTGCCAAATCTGTGGCTCTTCACAGAAAGGAAAATGCTGAGCATCAAAAAACAAAATGAGGATTAGTCAGAAAGAGATAATAAATAGCACATTACTACATGTAGCAAAAGCCAAAAAAAAAAACAACTTGTTTGTACTTTAATGGTTTAACCATGACAACAGACTGAAGTCTTAGTAAAGATAACAGGAATATAGGTTTCTCACTTCTATCAAGAACTGAGAAAAGATTGGAAAGGCTTTTCATGGAAGTCATATCAGATTATCGATATTGTTTATGCAACCAGATTAAAAGATTTCACTTAAATACTTCCACAATGCATTATTTGGAATAGAAATAGTAATAGCAGCAATAAATGATGGAATAAATTGTGATGTGGATAATTACAAAATAGAAGTTGGACTGAGGTCTGCAGGACTCTAGTACCCTCAATATTATGCTAATAAAGGGGCAGGGCAAACTCTGTTGAGACCTTTGTCAGAGTCTCTGCGGGTGTGGGTGGACAGTGGCTACCACTTGGGAAAGAGAACCATGGTGGTAAAATCATAACAAACACTACTACCACAACTTATTTAATCTTACAAAAAGAAAAAAAGCCAACCGTATGAGGTTAAGGCACTATTATCATCCTCATGTTGCAGATGAGGAATTCAACACCCAAAGAGAGGTGGGGTTTACTAAAGGTTAGAGAGTTGATAGATGGAGCAAAGATGTAAACCCAAGCAGTAGAGCTCATATGAATCCCTACTTAACTCCACAGTATCGTGCCTGCATAATGGGCTAGGAAAGTTACAGTGTGTATGCGCCATGTCTCACTAGAGGATTAGACATTTAGCCGATCATTCATGTATTTATTTGTTTATACATTCAACAAATATACATTGAGCACCTACTATGTGCCAGGCATAAATGCTAGAGCCTGGGGTTTAAGGATAAACAAGTAGGTGAGCCCTCTTCTTTTGGAATTTACAACTTGGGAGCGGAGATTGGTGGAAAAAACAGGTTACCTGCAGAACTACAGAGGGAAATACTCACAAGTAGTTCTGGAAGGTTAATATGCCTCAAAATTGCCCAGGGAGTTTATGAAAGCATAGATTGTGCACCCCCACTCTCTGCCCCCACCACTGCCACCTGCAGTTTCTGACTTAGTAGGTCTGTGTTTGGGCTTAACAATTTACATTTCTAACCAGTTCCCAGATGATGCTTATACAGCTGGGCTGGAGACTATACTTGGAGCATTGTTGCTCTAAGGGGTATTTGGTTGAGGGAGAAAGATTTCTTCACGTTGTACTTTACATCCCTTGGAGATAATCCTGTGATTAAGAAAAATAGTTACTAACTTATATAGATATAATATGAGGCCTGCCAGAAAGTCTCTCTCATCCTGCCTTAAAATATCAACATGCTCTCTAGGATGAGTAATATTCAGCCACCCACAACATTCACATGTGGGATCTGGTAAAGTGGGACAGAGGACAGGTAAGTTGTTTTTTGGTTTTTTAGGTTTTTTTTTTAAAGCCTTTATTTTGTAGAGCAGATTTAGGTTCACAGCAATATTGAGCACAAATACACAGCTCCTGTATACCTCCTACCCCCACCTCACACCAACAGCTCACACTGTCAACATCCCCCACTGGACAGGTACATTTGTTGCAATTGATGAACCGCCATTGACACATCATTATCACCCAAAGTTCATAGCATATATTAGTGTTCATTCATATACATTCTCTGGGTTTGGACAAATATACAGCAACATGTATTTACCATTATAGTATCATACAGAATAGTTTCATGCCCCTAAAATCCTCTGTGCTCTGTCAATTCATCCCTCCCTCCCCCAACCCACAGTTTTGCCTATTCCAGAATTTCATATAGTTGGAATTCTACAATATGTAGTCTTTTCAAATTGGCTTCTTTCATTTAGCAATATGCATTTAAGATTCCCTGATGGTTTTTCCTGGCTTGCTAGCTAATTTCTCCTTGTTACTGGATAATATTCTGTTCCTTGGATGTACCATTGTTTATTTATCAATTTACTTACTGAAGGACATCTCGGTTGTTTCCAAGTTTTGGCAATCATGAATAAAGCTGCTATAAACATTTTTGAGCAGGTTTTTGTGTGGATAAAGATATTCACTTTTTAACCATTGGTAAAATGTCTCTATAACTTGTATTTTTGTGTATTTTACAATGAAACATCTTTATATGGTATTTTTATTTTTAATTAATTTTTTGTTTTATTAACTATTTAAACTTTTTTTAAGTTGGCAAAATGATATATGATTACCACATACACCATGATGTTTTGAAGTATATATACATTGTGGAATGACCAAATCTAGCTAATTAACACATTTTATTGGCTCTCATACTTACTTTTTTTTTGGTGAGAACACAATATTCACCCTCTCAGCAATTTTCAAGAATACAATATATTGTTATTAACTGCAGTCAGCATGTTGTACAATAGATCTCTTGAACATATTTCTATATAACTAAATTGTGACATTTTAAAATGAGCTAATATATATAAAGCACATATCAAAGCCTAATATATATATAAAGCCTAATATATATAAAGCACATATCAAAGTGTGGCACATATCAAAGCCTAATAATGCTACCAGACAGGTAAGTTTTGATAACACATACTTGAAAGGAAAAGCAAAATGTGAAGCCAGGGTGTGCTACCTTGAGTATATTACTGAGGAATCAGAGGTAATATACAAAATATTGACACTCTAAGGGATGAAGATGCTAATGGCAAGATGGGAACCACTACAGAGGAATTTTTTACTCATCAATTCAAGAAGCACATATCATTCTTTTTTTTTTTTTTTTTTTTTTTTTGAGACAGAGTCTCGCTCTGTCACCAGGCGCCAGGCTGGAGTACAGTGGCACAGTCTCGGCTCACTGCAACCTTCACCTCCTGGGTTCAAGCAATTCTCCTGCCTCAGCCTCCCCAGTAGCTGGGACTACAGGTGCACGCCACCACACCCAGCTAATTTTTGTATTTTTAATAAAGACAGGGTTTCACCATGTTGGCCAGGATGGTCTCGATCTCTTGACCTGGTGATCCACCCGCCTCGGCCTCTCAAAGTGTTGGGATTACAGGCTTGAGCCACTGCGCCCAGCCCACATATCATTCTTATAGACAATGACACCTTACCATTTAATTGACATGACGATTAAAGTTGCTTCCAGTTTCCTGGGTCTGGCTCCAACACATGTTTTTGTTTTGGATTTCTTGTCTATGAAAGGGCATTTTTCCAGATTCATGACCTTTTCGTCTACTAGAGACATACATGGCAAGAGTGAAAGGAAGTATTGTGAAAGAGACAATTTCTTTAAAATCCATATGTGGATAGAAAGTGCAGCATTATCTCTGAGAACAATAATAGATGTACATATATACACATACACATGATTTTTTTCCCATGTGTATGTGTACAAGAGTTGTCAGGCTGAATGCTACAGAACAAGAGGGCTTGTGGAGCTAGGTTATAAAACTGTGAGACACAGAAAGGAGTAATCCATGGGTTGGCATTTGGATAGCTTTCCTCCCAGATCAAAGATCAAGCAGAATAAATTTCTGATATCAAGAGGCCATTTTCCTCTGCTCTGCAAATAGCCTTACACTAATGCCAAGTAAGAGCCTAACAAGTAGTACAAGTACATATCCCTCCTTAAAAGCAAATGCAAGTGATTTGGAAAGTCATTTAGGAGTTGGTTATCTATAATATCAGCTATCCGAATGGCCTATTCCTTAATCTGGTCCAGATAATTAAAAGTTAGCTAATTTTCTAAGCTAATGGCACACAGGCAAAATCTGATGTACAGATGTGATTTGTTCAGTCTGTGTATCTTGCTGCTTGTTGATGTGCCTTTAAATGTTGAACCTGAATGAGTTAAATGGAGCACTCAGTCTCCTTTGTGCAACCTTGCCCACTGGTCTCTGATATCTTTTACCTGGACTGGGTGAAACCTTTAAGTTATTGGCCAATCCCTTGGAAAGATTTGAGTTTTTGACCCTTGTTATATAATTTACAAAGTTTCTCTTCAACTACAGCATTATTTTTCTATTCCTCTAACTGCTTCTTATTTTTTCTTCATCTCACTAGTGAAAGGCCAGGTTTTTCCATAAGGATTTAATTGTTCCTGGGTGGATGATATAATACTATGTGAAACTTAGGGAGGAAATGTTTCTCAATGAAAATACAGAATTACTTTCTGGCATGGTTCACAGTACAGTCCATATTATTGACCTATTTGATATGGGCTTGAAAATTTTAAGCTGAATAAATAAAATGGGTCAAATCTGTGAAGTATCTTGATTTTTAGCAATAGAAGCATATTACTACCAGACACAAATTAGCTCAGAGAATACATTAAATTTTAGGAGGTACAGAAAGGGCTTTGTGTGTGTGTGTGTGTGACAAAAGAAGGCTGGGAGAATGTGAAATGCCCCAGGCATGTTCATTTTTATTCTGTAATGAATAGGAAATCTACTGCAGTAAAAGCAGAATTAATGATTCAAAAACAGCTGGAGATATTGAAACAGAAATTAATCCTACTTACCTAACTCTTAAAACTGGTGAAAGGACAAGGCCGGCTGAAAGCCAGCACCTGAAAGGAAATGGAATGTGGATGTTAAAAATCTGTGACCAGTCATTTGTAGGACATTCACAGTACACAGTTACAGTAAAGCTCACAAGTAGCAAATCTCACTAATTAGGAATAACAGGGTGATGGCCACTTGAAATCACTATAAAACCTGAAGTGTGGATACTTTTTAAGGCATTGCTTTCAAGGCAGAGACTAACGCAAATGACTTTCAAAGGACTGTAAGGTCCCACTGGAGCTGCTAAGAGATAAAAATCATTTGCACTTAGTACATTCTTTACAGGCCAGGGACTGATGTTTGGGTTATACCAATCACTTTAAAACAGTTTGATTTTAAAAAGCTATGCATATCTCCTCCTACCTTATCTATGCTGCTCATTTGACCATTTTTTCTAAAAATGGTAGAAAGGTTTACTTTAGTCCAAGTGCTTTCCTGAGTGACAAATTCATGTTTGTAGTATATGTCGTATTGAAGTGGTCCCACTGATCTTGGAAATTCTTACTGTTACAGTTGGAGAAAGGCTGAAACTCGGAACATATGTATGTATGTATATACACGTGGGTGTGTGGGCACCTGTGTATAAGGCCCATATCTGCCATCTTCTATGTTGCTCTAAGTTTTTTAAAATTGAACTCTAGGAGGCAAGTATGCAAACTTGAGCCTCAAACAATTCATTTTGTAGTTTTTGTTTTTCGGGGTATTGTGACGATATAGGAATCATGACCAGGGCTTTTCTTCACGAGTAAATTTGCTGGTGGATTTTAAGCAAATAGCAAAATAAGCAAAATTCATCTGGCAACTCTGTTTTACCACCATGTATATATTTTCAAACTTATTCTGGATGGAAAAACAGCATTTATGGCCAAATCTATTTCAACATCAGCTCTCAACCAAAAGATGTCTTTACAGAATTTCCAAGGCTAAAGTACTTGCTTATTTCCATACGCAGTGACTTTCAAGAGAGAGGAGCTTATAAAATAACACACCAATTCCAGGATGTTTGTGAATGTCTTTACGCATTGGGGTTCAAGGCACAAAAGGCTTGTATATTTGCTGGATGAAACTGCTTGAGATTTCCCTAAGGAGGAAGGAAAAGAACTTATATCAAGTGTGTTCTCAGTGTCAGTCTCTGAATGATAAGCTTTATGTTTGTAATATATTAAATGACATCCCTATTTGAAATTAGGCCATGCCCCCTCCTACTTAATTTCTCTCCTTAGCATTTGTCATTTTCCACTATAATATAAAATTTACTTATTTTGTCTATTTTCTTTCTCCTACCACCAAAATATAAGTTTCATGAGTATAGAGATTTTACCTGTTTCTCATTGCTCTGTCTCCAGTGTCAAGAATTCTGTCTGACCAATAATACGTACTCGATAAATAAATCATTTTGGAGTGACTGAGTGAATGACTGAGTATAAACAACTATGGATATCATCTCATTATCTTGTGTTCTAATGGACACAACAGGAAGACCTGGCTGGAACCCAGCTCTGACACTTACCAACTGGAAGGCCTTAGATAAGGGACAGTCTCTCTGAGCATTCGTTTTTCTCATGCCTGAAAAGCAGATAATGATAGTTCCTTCTCCATAAGGTTTTAATAACAAAAAAGGAACAAGCCAGGACACTGTTTGGCATGGTTCTTGGTATACTGTAGGTGGTTCAAACATGTTGGCTATTATTACTGCTTTTGTCTTTATTTCAAAACCATTAATGAATGCAGGATAATACTGAATATAACATAATTCTGCACCTACATATTTCATCATTCATCTTAGAATGCTGACACAGGACTAGGAAGAAACTGATGGGTGAAGAAGCTGCCTTACTCTTGCTGAGTTTTGCAAAACCATTTCTGGGGCCTGGGAAGTGGAAAGGGCCTTCTAGACCCGACCCCACAAAGGACCAAAGTCGCACACTTAGGAAATCAGTAAGGCATTTGGGTCTCACTCTATTACCTTTCTGAAGCCTTAAATACATTTGAAAAGCAATTGTTTTCTTTCTAGCTTTGGAAAGGAAAATGTGAAGAGATGCCTGGTGGAGGCAAAGCTCATATTTCAAGGCACGTCAAGGACCAAGATGGATGATGTGCAGATAACAGTGGAAACAGATGTAAAACATAACGACCAGACCCACACAGATGCCCACACTGCCCCCCCAACCCACCACTTTGGATCAAGATGAAATGGAGTCATAACATTCAAAAACAGAGACACTGGTTTTCAGAGTAAAGAAAGGCTTGATAGCACCTGATATTCAGGTCATCATTGTCTGTGCTGGGATTTTGAATGCATAGATGCTTCCAGATAATGTCTATTTTTCTACCTCTTTGTTCTGTGATTCCTAGTTCTACTAGCCTTATTAGAATTATCAGTAAAGGATACTTTTCAAAAGCACTTATTCTATGCATAAGTGCTTGTTTCATCCTTGCAATAAGCCATCAAAATAGGAAATATTAATTTGTGTGCCCATTTCACAGATGAGGTCTTGCCATAACACCAGTAAGTAGCACAGTCAGATCTGTCCCCAGGCCTGTCTAAATCAAGCTTACACGCTGCTCTAATATCACGACACCACAAACCAAATTAGATTTCTTGTGATGCTCTCACAGCTTCTTTTACTTTTTCTTCATAGCGTTGAACTTAATTTATAGAAATATATGTGCATAATTACTTGCCTAATTCTTGACTCAGCAATAAACAACTTTTTTATATATAAAACTGTATTTGTAAAGCAGAGCCCAAACCTAATTCATAAGAGAGGGTCAGAAAACATCTGTCAAATGTGTGAATACAAAGTGGACATAAATTAATATTTCACATTAAGATTGAAATTTAGTTCATTTTTTAAATGAATAAAGAACATTCAAAACTCTTATATTCAGTGATCTTTCCTCTTAAAAGGATAAAATCATGTGTAAAAGTTTCTAATAACCTTTAGTATAATTATTCCATAATCATAGGGAAAGTCAAACAATTGTACAATTTATTCATTTATTATTTTACTCTTCCACTAAACAACTGCCAGTATGTACCTACCCTCTACATTTTTTTCTCCTTTTGATTCTAGTTCTTAGTAGGTACTCAACAAATATTTGTGGGACAAACTAATTAAAAATACTGCTGATGAGCAGTTGCTGATATTTTAATAAAAGTAAAAATGCTGACACCTTTATAACCATACATAAATCTTTCCTGAGTGATGTGAACTTAGAGATTTTCAGAGTGAGTTACTTTGTGACTTGACAGCATTCAAGATACAACAAAATAATGAAAATCTGATTTAAGGGAGAAACTCTGTGGCTATGAACCAAAGCTAAAGAGAAAAAGCCCTGCTGTTTTAGTTTGTTTTTACCAAACAAAGTTGGGAGGTAAGCCACAGCTTCTGACCATGTTTTTAAACATTTCAAAAACTCTCTGAAATCACTTACATGTAAACAGCAAGAGATTAATACTGTGTTTTTGAAACTGGCTTGAATAAGGGCTGTGAGATTTCACCACAGAAAATGAGAAAATGTTTGTTCCCAGAAATAAACAAAAACAATGTAAGAATTTAGATTTTTCTTTATCTTTCTGTTAGCCGAAAGCAAAACACAACAGACAATGCAAACAAAAAGCAAATGAACAAAAGAATCTTAAAAGGAAAGAAGTGGTGATAAAGTCTAAGGAAGGGGAAATGTGCTGTGAAGCAAGAAGCAAAGTATTCCAGTGAAATGTAAGGGAAATGCTAAATGAAAGATGGGTATGCAGCATGAGGCAGAATCAAGAAATGGTAAGAGGTTGGACAGAGAAGAAGAATCAAGCTGCTGGGTAGTGAGTCCAAACACTACTAAAATCCAATTCTAATTACACACGAACTTCTTCTCTGCATTTGTTTAATTTTATTCTTCTCTGAAAACACAGAAACAGCTGCTTCCCTTTTGACACAATTATCTAAGTCCAGAAGCTTTTGAAATGTCCCTTTGAAAGGTTTGCAGACCTTACAAGAAGCCTAAACATATTAAGTAACAGATCTTTTGGATTTTAGACAAGGAAAGCATTTTACTCAAGGCCTTGAATCTACAGGCCAGAGGACCTAGGGTGATGGAAGGAACCATGATGAGTTTCAAAGTCAGGATAAATGGCAACTTATCTGGCCTTAAAAGTCAACAACTTGACAATTAGCTTGATTACATTATGAGCAAAAAATTGACCCAGAGTATTCTTCCATTGGCTGATCAGTAGCTAATCAGATTATCTTCATTGACTTAGTAGTTTAAACTAAGATATTGAGAATCTATAGTCAATTGTTAATGGACACCATAATGTAAAGCCAAGGAGATGTAGGATTAGTCGTTCCATTGGGCCATGTCCATGTCAGTCAGGAGACACAAAGAACACTGAGTAGTTCCATCAAGAGAGAGAAAAGACTAAAGGAAAAAAGGGAAAGACTACAGAGGAGACACAAATGAATAAACCTGTGGCCCTAAAGAGATGGAAGTATTTTCCATTCCTATCAACTTTTCATTTCCAGTCTTCATGAAGACTCAATATTCAAACTCAGTATCCAATAAACAAATAATGATCAATGTTATTGAACACATAACCACAGCATTGTGCATATATTGTTTCATTTCATCCTCAAACAACCCTATAAAGTAAGAGCCATTACTATTTTACTTTTACAGCTGAGAAATCTGAGACCTGGAGAGCTTAAGTAACGCACTCACGGAAGTCCCGTTGTTAGTGACTGGTAGCAAAAACTCAACTCTGTCTTATTCCAAAGTTCATGTTCTTTTTAAACCACTGCTTCTTGGACCCTGAAATGATCTTCCTCTTTATTTGAGCAAGTTTGAGAATTTCTTTTTTAAACATCAGCCATCCCTGATGAAGACATAAATGAAAAAGTTCAACATGTTGGCAAAGAGGGCACCCTTGCTAAGCACAGATGTTGTGACAGAGAGGCAATTCTGTGACTGAAAACTCCATTTCCTTTGGGTATAAAGATTCAACTTTAAATGTTTTTGCCCCCCCTTTACTTTCCTCCTTTCTGGTTTTTACATTAGGCAAGTTGACTGATGTGAAACTCACTTCTTGCTAAACTTAGTGTCCTGTCATTCTCCCTAGTGTTCTGACATTTTTAAAAAGATATAAAGTAATTTAATGGATTTTTTTTTTTTTACTGGGTAAGAGAAGGACAGAAGAAAGAGTATACTTTGAGTAATGAAGCAAACAAAGCTGAGGAAGTTGGATGCTTATGTTTACTACCAAGTAAATGTCAGAGGACATTTACATTTGCCAAATTCTTTGCATGTGTATCTTTAAAGCCATCCAGATACATCAGATGAACACAGTATGATAATGGTCATACCCTGCTCTACGCTTCACTTCTTCACATTAAATCGCCTGAATATAAATGAAGGCCACAATGTTCATTTACATGCAATACTAGGCCTATTTTTTGAACAAGCTGTCTAAAGGAATATTCTTTCACACGGTAGGTTTTCACCTCTTTTCTTTGGCTATTTTGGTTTTATGTTAAAAAGAAGTGAAGGGATATGTGAAGGAATTTTTCAGAATATTGGATTTGGGCCTGGGCTAGCCATTGGCTAGCTGTGTGACCTTAAGCTAGGAATTTGCCTGATGACACTGAAACCATATTATTTATGTCACTGGGGAAATAGGGTCATAATATTATAACTGTAATAAAGATAGAAAAGATTATCAGGAGTCTTTAAATGTTTATGGAATTTATTGAATGATTCCATTTGTTTTAAGGAAGAGCCACTCGAAACTCCATTTAGTTGAAGGAACACATGTGGGTACTTACTGTGTGGCACTGGGTTGTAGCACATGCTTTCACATGAAATGATCTCCCCAGCTCTGCAACAGGACTTTCAGTTTGGGTCTTTTGAGTTGCAAAATGGCAGAAGGTGCTGGACCATCAAGACCTGAAGCTGATCTCAAGAAAAGATGCTCCCTGCCATCCCTGCCTCCAAATCTTTAGCCCCAGGCCATAGGGCACATGTGGATTGGGTTCGCTCTGCAAAGGGGTGGGGTCAATTGAGAGGCTGCTGTTGCCTTGCAGCCATGTT